AAGGCCACCCCACTCTGCCCCATGCAGAGCCTGAGGGGAGCGGGGAGCGGACCTTAGCCATGCTCCCTAGTGGCCAGGGTTGGGGTGGAGGGTGAGAATGGCTGCTCAGGGGTGGGGTGGAGCCTGACCGAGGCTCCCCTCCACAGTATGTGGTGGCACGTCCTGCTCAGGGAGCACTTCTTCGGGACCTGTTCCTGCCCTCGTGCCCTGGCTGCGGCCAGCCCGAGCTGCTGCAGGCCGTGGGCATCATTGGCGCCATCATCATGCCCCACAACATCTACCTGCACTCAGCCCTGGTCAAGGTGAGCAGACTGGAGGGGAGGGAGACATGCTCTCTCCCTAAGGGCCACACCGGCTCCGCCCCCAAGGCTGGAGCCCCGCCCCTTTGGCTCCCAACTCTGTAAATTTAGGAGGGAAGTGAATCACTCTTTATTCAATATGTAATAATAGAGGGTCTACTGTGTGCTGGGAGCTGGAGGTCAGTGATGAAGAGACAGATAAGTCCTCTGCCTTCTTAGAGCATGCATTCTAGCAGGAGAGACAGACCATGGGCAAGTAAACAATAAAGGAAAGAAATGGATTGTGAAAGGTGCTCTGAAGGAAACAAAAAAGAGAAGTATGATGGAGAATGACTGAGGAGGGGGCTCCTTTAGAAAAGGAGTCAGCAAAGGCCTTTGAAACATGAAGGATGGGAAGGAAGACCAGGGGAGAAGAGATTCTAAGCAGAGGGACTGGCAAGTGCAAAGGCCCTGAGGCAGAAACAAAGGCCTATCCCAGACGGCCATGTAGGGGGCTTTAGAAAGAACTGGGGTTTGGGGGGAACATAGGTAGAGGTGTGAGGGTAGAGAATGTTGGGATGACTCAGGGACTTCGGTGCTTCCCTCCCTTTGACTTTCATAGTCTCGAGAGATAGACCGGACCCGCAGGGCAGACATCCGAGAAGCCAACATGTACTTCCTGATTGAAGCCGCCATCGCACTGTCTGTCTCCTTCTTCATCAACCTCTTTGTTGTGGCTGTCTTTGGGCAAGCCTTCTACCAGCAAACCAACCAGGCTGCGGTGAGGCACACCCCATACCCACATGCCCTTCAGGCTTTGCTGGGGACTCCAAAGAGTGCAGCTAAGCCCTTCGAGTCTCTGTCCTGTACTCCAGGCACTGGTAGGGGAGGGAGTCTGCGACCCTGGCCTCTGGCTGGGAGCCCCTTCCCCACCCCACTGGGGAGACACGCCACATGTAGGCTTGCACGTGGTCAGCCCCACGCCAGGGGCTACAAGGCACAGACGTCTAGGGGAGGTGACTGGGGGGAGGAGCTGAGTCTTGGAGGATCCAGCATTCCAGCTGCACCTTGAAGGATGGGCAGGATTTGCCCAGCAAACTGCAGGAAGGGCATTCTGGGAGGGGGCTGCCTGCCTAAGCACGAGCGTGGGGTCAGGAGTATGCAGACAGGCAATTTCTTTCCTTGAGTTTCTAGTGATAATCTTCATTATTAGTAGATAAACTGTCATTCATTCAGCAAAGATTTATTGAGCATTTATGTATCAGCCAGTGTCTTAGGTCCTAGGGATACAGCAGCCAATGATACAGAGACCTTGCCCTCTTGCAGATTAAATTCGGAGGCAGTGAGCAAACAGGAAACAAATCAACCAATCAGTTGATCGGTTTCAAAGGAAAATATGAACGATGTTGTAAAGGAAATAAAGGGGGTGATGAAACATAATTGGGGGTGTGGTGAGGGAGGGACTACTACATTAGGCCAGGTGGTCAGGAGAGGCCTCTTGGAGGAGGTGACATTTGAGCGGGCTCTGAAAGCGAAGGAGCCGGCCAGCTCCTCCCTGGCTCTCTGGGATCTGGGACTCTGCCTGTCTCAGTTTTTGAGTGAGTCTCTGTCCCAAGGCTCTAACAACTGCTAGCCAGTGTTGGGCGCTTACTGAACGCTGACGGGGTGGGGTGGGGATGGGACAGACTGGCCAAGCCTCCGGGGACATGGGCACTGCCACTGCCTTTCTGTGTGACATTGTGAGGTCATAGCCCTCCCTGGGTCTCTGCTCCTTAGCATAAGGAGAGAAGTCTAAATAGGGTGGCAAACCATAGTCACACATTGCCTTCGAGACCAGCCGAGTCACAGAGCTGTGGGAAGTGGGTCCCACGTAAGGGAGAAGGGCCTGTGGGGCAGCCTGAGTCCCTGCCGGCCAATTGTCTCTCTGTGGTAATGCCAGCTCTTACAATCCAAGAGCAGCTGGAAACCAGGGTCTCATGTTAAATCTTCTCAATTGTAAATGTCAACCAATTCACACTAAAGAAAAAAAAATTTGTTAGTCACACAAAATATGTCTGGCTGGATTCAGCCCGCGGGCCACTAGTTTTCAATCCTTGGTCAAGGCTTGGAGGTCTCATTTTCCAACATTGAGTGTGCGCTTCACATCTCCTTCCTACTGCCCGGTGCCCGCAGTTCAACGTCTGTGCTAACAGCAGCCTCCACGACTACGCCAAGATCTTCCCCATGAACAACCTTACAGTGGCGGTGGACATTTACCAAGGAGTAAGCGCGAGGCAGGGCGGGTATGGAAGGGCTAGATCCAGCGGGGCTCCTCGCCACATCCACCTCAGAGGTAGAGTCTGCGCGAGAAGGGGCGGACCCATGGCTCTGACCACAGTCCTCCCTCCAGGGCGTGATCCTGGGCTGCCTCTTTGGCCCCGCAGCCCTCTACATCTGGGCGGTGGGTCTGCTGGCCGCCGGGCAGAGCTCCACCATGACCGGCACCTACGCGGGACAGTTTGTGATGGAGGTGGGGCTGGGGCGGGCCCGGGCGGGCAGGGGACTGAGGGCAAGGCACACTACTCGGGGCTCGGACATCCGCTTCCTTGATCCTTAAGGCAGCCCAACGGGTGCCCTTATAAGCCCCATTTTACAGATGAGAAAACTGAGATTCAGCGAGATGAGGCCCGAAACTGCAAACCCAGAACTAATAGAAGGCTTTTCTCCAACACGGTTTAGTCTTCAGCAATCAGCTGTGGGAGGGGAACACCCCCTAAAGGAGGGGAACCCCCCCTAATTTCCCCCCATCTATCCCCTCACCACCAACTATGGACAGAGCTGCCCCCATTTCAAAGATGGAGAAACAGAGTGTTCCTCCAGGCATGAGATGGGCTGAGGGAGGATAGAGGGTCCCTCCCTTGGAACACAGTCCTGCACCCTGCCACCAAGGTGCCCACCCCACCCCCCCAGGGCTTCCTGAAGCTGCGGTGGTCACGCTTCGCCCGAGTCCTGCTCACTCGCTCCTGCGCCATCCTGCCCACCATACTCGTGGCAGTCTTCAGGGACCTGCGGGACCTGTCAGGCCTCAACGACCTGCTCAACGTGCTACAGAGCCTGCTGGTGAGCCTGCGGGCCCTATCACCTCCTCCCGCTGTGGAGCCAGACAGGAACCACAGCAATCCCCCTACAGAGCCTCCCCTGCGTCCCAGGCGCTATTCTAAACACACCTTATCTACAGGCCTCATGTACTCTCCACAGCCACCCCGGGGGTAGGAACCACCACTAGTCCCATTTTGCAGATGAGAAAACTGATGCATGCAGTTAAGTGACCAGTGGCACAGCTGGGATACAAGCTCAGGCAGCCTGGGGCCAGAGCCCCCAAACACTCTCTCCTGCTTCCGAGCCCCTACAGCCTTGGAAGGCGTAGAGGTGGAGAAGTTGAGGCCCAGAATGGTTAGGAGACTCTCCCAAGGGTGCACAGTGAGGCAGAGGGTGACTGGAGCCCCGGCCTGCTCCTCCCCTCCTTGCTGTATTCTAAGGGCAGGGTCCCTCAGCCCCCTCCTCCCGATTCTCCCCAGCTTCCCTTCGCTGTGCTGCCCATCCTCACGTTCACCAGCATGCCCGCCCTGATGCAGGAGTTTACCAATGGCCTGTGAGTACTCCCCAACCCCAGCACTGGACTTACATTACCACACTTGATCCTCACAACCACCAAGAGGTAGGAATTCCCATTATTCCCACTACCCAGATAAGGTCAGAGAGGTTAAGAAACTTGCCGAAGGTCACACAGCTAGCTAGCAAGTGGAGGAGCCAGGACTGGAATCCTGGGCCAGGGGCTGTTTCTAGAGCTTGAGCTCCTCCCCCTCACCTCAGACTCTGCTTTTGCCAAATCCTGCCAGTGTGGTGCCTGGAGGGCCCAGGAGGCAGAAGCTGGCCAGGGGTCTGCTCCAGGGCCCACAGCCCTGGGAAGCTGGCTTTGTGTATCCACCCCCCACCTTAGCTCCAGGCTGGCTGTGGGCACTGGAGGAGATGCAGCCAATCCTGAGCCTCCCTCTCGTCCCCAAGGGTGAGCAAGGCCTTCACTTCTTCCATCATGGTGCTCATCTGTGCCATCAACCTCTACTTTGTGGTCAGCTACTTGCCCAGCCTACCCCACCCTGCCTACTTCAGCCTTGTGGCACTGCTGGCCGCAGTCTACCTGGGCCTCACCACCTACCTGGTACTGTTGGGTCCGCGGGCGTCTTGGGGATGGGGGAGGCAAGGAGAAGAGACAACAGATGGAGGGCTTAGTGGGGGGATGCACTGGGGCTTCCCCCAAAGGTCTTGTCCTCTCCCCTACTCATGGTCACCCCTCCTCCAGACCTGGACCTGTCTCATCACCCATGGAGCCACCCTTCTGGCCCACGGTTCCCACCAACACTTTCTGTATGGGCTTCCTGAAGAGGATCAGGAGAAGACCTCTGGATGAGCTCCCACCCAGGGCATGGCCGAGGGTGTAACGAGTGGGGCAGACTGGCCTGCTGGACCAGTGGGGGTCGGGGGCCGTGTGTGGAGGCAGCAAGATGGAGTTCTGGAAGCAGGCCAACCCTGGTTCCCCTGGTTCCATAGGGACCTGCTGTCTCCTAGTTTGGACAAGTGATTAACCTCCGGATCTCAGTGTTCTCAACTACAAAATGGGGACACCAACCTTGCAGCGGAGGTAAATAAAGCACTTTAACACAGAGCCTGGCACTTGAGACTTAAAAAAAAAAAAATCATTCCTGAAGTATTTATTGAGCACCTATAGGAGTAACCTGACAGACCAACCCAATTGGGGGTGGGACACAGGCTCCAAACTGGTACTTTAAAAATAGAGTCTGAAAACGATAAATAAATGCTAATTCACTTCTTATCCAAAAGAGCAGGGAAATGGAAACAGGAAAGCACAAAATCCCTGAACCATCAAGAATAGTTCCCCTCCCTGAAGGTCTGCCTCGCTCCCACTCTCGCTGGAGTGGCCTCAGCCTTTCTGTTCCACCTGAAACCCCTTTTCCAGGCAGGAAAACAGAAGCGCGGTTCTCCCCTCTTAGGGCGCCAAGTCCTAAGGAACCGAAGAGTCGGTGCCTCTGAGGCCCAATTCCTTTGCCATCTCCCCAGGGGACCAGGCGGCCGGGACTCCCACGCCGCGTAGTTAACGCTCCCTGGGCGTTGACTCCCAGCTCCCCCTAGGGACAGGGACGATCCCGAGCGCCGGTACTCCCCGCCTCCAAAGAGGAGGAGGCTGTCACTCGGGCTTCGCGCCCGGGGGCCTCGGAATCCGCCCAGGCGGGAAGGTGGGGTGAGCTCTGTGGGCGGGGAACCACCTCGGCCGCAGGGAGCGGCCCGGCGCCCTTTCGCCCCTTGAAGGGGCTGCACTTTACAGACGCTCCCTGGGCTGTTTCTAGGCTCCCCCAAGTCCCTCCTGCCTCTTCCCGTCCCTCGGACCCCAGCCCCTGAGCTGTGGCGAGCGTCGGCGATGAGGGGCCGCCAGCCCTTTCCCCTAGATTGAGCTTGGAGTGGGCGCTGTGCCTGGAAGCACCCCCGATTTCCCGGGGATGCGGCGGGGCAGGCAGCTGGGCTCCGCGCTCTGGTTGAGGCGCTTGTTTATGAGAAGAATTTCCTCTTTCTTAAAAGGGCAACGAAACAAGTGGGGCCCTCTAAGAGGGACGGGATGGGACAGGTCTGGCTCACCCGAGCAACGGTGGAGGGGTACCTGGGCTAGAACGCCGCCCAACCTCCTTCTCCCGGCTTGTCCCTGGAGAAGATGGGGCCCCTGCGAACTGAAAGGGAGGATGAATGGGGGCCAGGTAGCGGAGAAACGGGAGACCCCTTTTTTGCTTCCCTGAGGTGCCCCCAGCTGTACCCCCTGCCCACCCCTCTGGTCAATTCTGTAGGCATTAGTTGGGCGCCAGCCCTGTGCTAGACCTGGGGAAGGGAGGCACAGTCTCGAATTAAAGATGTCAGCTCTCTAGGAGCTCACACTGGGTTGGGGGGAACCTAAGTAAATGACAACAAAACACTGACGATCCGAAGTGTGCGTCAGGCACACCTGCAACCGATGAGGCAAGGCCCACAGAAGATAAACTCCTGGACAATATTTTGAAAGCTGAATAGACATAGGGAGAGCAATCAAGGGAGAGATGAGCATGCCGGGAGTTGGGGTGGGGGGGTCAGTGTATGCAAAAGCTAGAGACTTGCAACCTTGTTGGGAGTTCCCCAGAAGAACGGGCAGGCTGGTCATACCAATAGGCAAGTCTGGAGCTTAGAACTTGGGGTAAAGGAAGGTGAGGAGGGGAGGGGACCAAAGGGCCAGCTAAGGGTTGCTCTGGGCCTGGGTAAGGCGTTAGCGATGAAGTCAGGCCAAGGTCAGTCATATCCGGACAGGGACGCCTCCAGCCCAAAAGGGCTGCTCCCTCCCCAGTAGCTCTGGTCCTCCCAGCCCCCAGGTTCAGATCTAACTAGATGTTTCTTCAGCCCCTCAGGCTGGGAGTGGCCTGACACCTTTACTCTCCCCAGAAGCTTCCACCCACAACTCCATCCCCACAGACACCCCAGGCCCGGCACTGCACAGGCGTCCTGACTCACTCCGCATCCACCCCGCTCTGTCGGAATGTGCACCACGGTGTGTCTCGGAGCCCGGGAGGAGGGCATCCGGCCTTTCTGCTCGGCATTCCCCCTACCCACTTGCCTGGGTTGGACCCTTACCAACCCTATTTGGCAGAGAAGGAAGCTGAGGTGCTGGATGAACAAGACACTTGTCCATAATTGCCAGACGGACCCCGGCTGAGTCCTAGTGTTTCTCGACTCACAGTCCCCATGACTTTATCCGTCCTGGGGCGCAAACCTATGAAACAGATAAAAATAAACTATGCGGGTACGGCGACCCCCCCCCACCTGCTGTAGTAGAGAGGGTAGAAGGAGAGCAGCTGGGTGTGGACTCCCCTCTTTCCTGAGGAAACCCAAAGAACCCGCCCCACCTTACAGAACGCTTCCACTAGCAACTCTGTCCCCACAGACCCCAGACCCCCGCACTGCACGGGCGTCTGGGCTCACTCCGCATCCACTCCACCCCGGCGGAAAGTGCACCGCTGAGCGTGAGAAGAGGGCAGGTCTCGCTGGGAGGAGCGAAGGCTCGGAGGAGACGATGGAGGGTGAAGGGGGGGGTAGGAGTAGGAGGTGAAGGGAATAGCGACGGGAGGGGGGCAGCAGTGCTGCCCAGTGCCCTATGCCCAGTGCCCTATCCCCGCGTTAGCTCCCCTGACCCTCAGTGGCACAGTCGGCCAGGTTCCAGCCTTCACAGAGGGAAAGACGAAGGGAGTGGAAAGCGAGCCGCCCTGCTCAGGCCAGGGGCGAGGCCCGGGGTTCACTCAGCCCTCCGCCGCACATTTCCTTTTGGGGTCGGCGCCGACTGAGCATCCGGAGAGAATGCCGAGGCCCCGCCCCGGGGCCGTACCGAAGGGGAGGGGGCTCGGCGCGGCGACAGGAATCCAACCTCTGCCCCCGCCGGAGGGCGGGTCGAGTCGCTAGCTCGTCGGGACTCAGTTTCTTTATCTGTAAAATGGGTTAAAAAAACGGATTGTTCTGAGAAGTAAATGAGATGAGAGGCGCAGCCAAAGCGGGACCCAGACTAAGCGCTCGCCGCAAGTTGGCGATTATCGTGATTAAATGCAATGATGGCAGCCGGCCGGCGGCGTAGTAAGATGTTCCGGAAAAACCCGAACGAACTTTTTGGCTAACCCAATAGCAGAAGGGGGGGTCGTGGAGTCCACAGGATTCACAGCCTCTGACCACCTCCTCCCCGCCCTGCTGCCCAGCCCCGAAGCTGGCGCGCCTTTGGGCGAGCGCCGCTCCCCTCGCGGGGCCTCTCGCTCCCCGGCTCCCCCCTCCGCCCGGCCTGGAGGACGTGCGCCGCGTAAGCACCCTGCGGCCGGACGGGACTGGACGCGCCCGCCCCGCCCCGCCCCGCCCCGCCCCGCCCGGCGGGGGAAGGAAATGCTGAGGCGTGTTTGTCAATGCTTGGCGTTATGAATATTTTTAAAACGTGAACACAAAATAGTAACGGCAAATGGAAGGAACTTCATAAAAAAAACCACTCGCAAACCTCACCGCGCATCACACGGGAGTTTCCCTCGTGAAGAATCTGCGTGGAAACGCGGGCCCCGCGCCCGCCGGTGTGTCTGCACAGGCCCAGGTGGAGCGGGTGTTCAAGGTCCTCCAGTTGACGGTGTGGTCCCCACGGTTGGGCATTGAGCCCAAAGGGATGGGGGCCCCACTGTGTGTAGCCGCCGCTTGATTTTCCCCCCTGCCCAACAGTCACATCGTGGCCGGCGTAGGGAGTAGGGGAGGGGCCTAGAAAAGCCTCTTGGAGGGGGTGTCATTTCTTCGAGGTCGGTGGGATTTGGCTGTGAGAAGTCGAAGGAGGCGCATTCCAGGCCGGGAGAACAGCAGGTACAAAGGCCCTGAGGCGTGGAGGCGCTAGGCTTCTGGCGAGAAAGCCAGGTGGCTGGAGTGGACGTGGCCGGGCGCCAGGTGAGGCGGTTGGGAGAGGTCGGCAGGGGGCATCCCGGGGCAGACAGTTGGAATTTCCACGCCCTACAACTCCGGGTTTAGGGGAAGGGGCCCGAGACTGCGGTAGGTGGTGACAGTCTTGGTCCGGTTAAGAGCCTAATTGTGTGGATCTGCACAGACGTTTGAAGGTAGCAAAGAGTCTTTGCACGCTCACGACTTCCCTGCGAGATGGCCCCTAGACCGCCGGAGAGACCCATTTTACAGAATAGACGGTGTTACCCTATTTCCCAGATGAGGAAACCGAGAAGCTGCCAGCCCCGGACCCTCGGAATGTGCAGAGGTGGAGCCGCGCCGCCCTCGGGGCACTCCCGGGCGTGGGCGCTCCAGGCGGGCCCTGTCCCCTGGCCGCCCAGCGCCGGAGAATGGTGGGCTGGGTGCCGGCCCTGCCACGCAGCCGCAGAGGCTCGGCCCCGCAGGCGGGCGGGCGGCAGGAAGGGAGGCGACGCCCCCTGGAGTGCGGCAGGAACCCGGCCGGGCCCGCCTCCTAGCCCGCCAAGCCGCGCCGGCCCCAGAAGTGATGAAAGCGCCGGCCAAGTCCAGGTCACGCCGAAACCGTTGCCCTTTTAAGGGGGAGCCTTGAAACGGCGCCCGGGTTCCATGTTTGCATCCGCCTCGCGGGGAGGAAACTCCATGTTGTAACAAACTTTCCTCCGCGCCCCCTCCCTCCCCCTCCCCCTTAGAACCTGGCTCCCCTCCCCTCCGAAGCTCGCGGGGATCCCTCCCTCCCACCCCTCCCCTCCCCCCCGCGCCCCGATTCCGGCCCGAGCCGGGGGGGAGGCCGGGCGCCCGGGCCAGAGTCCGGCCGGAGCGGAGCGCGCCCGGCCCCATGGACAGCTCGGCCGTCATTACTCAGATCAGCAAGGAGGAAGCGCGGAGCCCGCTACGGAGCAAAGGTACTGGGGCGCGCGGAGGGACCCGCAATCCGGGCGCTGCGGGGAGGAGGAGGGGGCCGCGACCCTCCCCAGGGCAACCGCCGCTGCCGCCCCAGGCTCCCGACTCGGCGGGGCCCGAAGCTTCCAACCGGAGGGGGAGCTGGTTGAGAGTTTGAACTCGCAGAGGCTCAGAGACGCGGGGCGGGGCCTGCCCCCGTTTGGGCGCTCCTGTCTGCTCGAGGTGGGGAAACTGAGGCAGGGGTAGAGAAGGGGCGCCCTCCGGGTTTCCCGGACTGGCTGTGCGCGATGCCCGAGAGTCGCCCCCTCCCCCCCATTGGCGCCAGTGGGGCTGGGAGATGGGGGGGTTGAAGAGGGCGCCTTCAGGCCACCAGCTGAGACTCCGCCCCCTCTGGGCCGCGGTCTGGTCGGGTCGAGGGAGGGGGCGCAGAGGTGACAGCGGGCTGGGGAGGGTTGGAAGGATCTCCCGCTACCACACAGCCACGTTCTTCACAAACTTTCGCGTCACTCGTGGAGGCGCCGAGCCTCTCGGAGACGTAGAGAGGGACAACCGCTTTTAAGGATCGCCAGCGCGCCCGCGGGGAGACCCGCGTCGCACCGGGAACTCGGAGCCCCGGCTGCAGGCCGGTGGGCGCCGGGTCTGTGCGCACACGCACCGACTCGAGATGCCGCCGGCCTCGGCCGGGCACCCCGGGGCTTGACGGGTCTGGGCAGGGGGTCTGCCCTTCCTTGTCCCGGTGTTGACTTAAGAGGCTAGGAAGTTCCTCCAGGTCTTCGCACCTGTGGCCTGGGCCTAGCTCTGCCCGGGCCGGGTGGAGGGGATGTTGGAGGGCGGGCCGTCTATCAGCGGGACCTAAGTTGGAGGTCCGGGCGGGGGCGGCGGAGGAGGGGCCAGCAGATGGCGGCAGGACACTGGCCCCAGGCCCCCACCCCCTGTCTCTGGGCCCAGCCTCAGGGAGGACTTTGCACCTCTGGAGGCGGAGAGGATGGAAGAAGGGGAAGGAGAGCAGGAGTGGGCCCCAGGGCCCCAGGCCTCAACCCTCTCTGGCAGGGGCCCTACTGAATAGGGGCTGCTCAGGTACAGGGTGTGTCAGGAGGTGCCCCCAGTGGGCTGATCCCCCAGCAGCGATGGAGGCTGTTAGGAAGAGAAAACACCTTCAGTCCCCGCCTCAAGCCAGCCCACTCCCTAATGTGGGTAACTTTGTACCCACACTAGAAGGACTTGTGGGGAGCGGAGGGGTGGCCTGGAGCCAAGACTGTCTGGATGCCACTTTCGTGTGTCTCCCTCAATGAAGGCAGCACGGCCAGAGCCTCTCAGCCCAGGGGTTCGTGCCTGGGCACACGTGCCCACCTCTGCAGGCCAGTCAGCATGCCTTCCCCCACCTTGGGCCTCCCTGCTTCAGGTGACCAGAAGTCTGCAGCTTCTCAGAAGCCCCGGAGTCGGGGCCTCCTCCACTCACTGTTCTGCTGTATCTGCCGGGATGATGGGGAGGCCCTGCCCGCCCGCAGTGGGGCGCCCCTGCTCGTGGAGGAGAACGGTGCTGTCCCCAAGGTGTGTGATGGCCAGGAGGGCGCTGCAGGGGCACCTGGGCTCAGCCCTCAGGGGGTTTAGGGGGAGGGGGCTCTTCATGACCTGCTCGTAGGCCCTGGAAGGAGGGTGGAGCCCCCCTGTCCCCCCACCAAGCCCTCCACCCTCCCAGGCCTTCCCAGCCCTGAATGCCCCAAGACTGCCTCCCAGGGGAGGGCCCCCCAACCATGGGAATTCTGAATTTCCCCTTCAGAAGTGGAAGCTTTCCTCTGCCTTGGTTTCCCAGGTCAGGAAGTGAAGCCCAGAGAGCCAGGCGGCCTACCCCAGGCTCCAGAGTTGGCAGGGGCAAAGCTGGGAAGGGGTTGGTCTCTCCCACTGTCCTTGTGGCTCGCCAGGTAGAGGGCTGGGGGAGGGAAGACATGTGGAGGAGAAATGACTGGGGCTTGAGAGAGGTGCCCGCAGCCAGCCCCGCCCATCCCCACAGCAGACCCCAGTCCAGTACCTGCTCCCCGAGGCCAAGGCCCAGGACTCGGACAAGATCTGCGTAGTCATCGACCTGGACGAGACCCTGGTGCACAGCTCCTTCAAGGTGGGCCCTGCCCAGCAGCCCTCAGCCCCGAGTCTCTAAGGGAGTCTGCCCTGGCCTGGGAGGCGGTCTCGGCGGGCCTCGCCCCAGCTCCAGCAGCTCTTTTCCCCCCTCACAGCCAGTGAACAATGCCGACTTCATCATCCCTGTGGAGATTGATGGGGTGGTCCACCAGGTGAGGGGCTGGGTGTGGGGGGAGGTGGTAGGCTTGGCATCTGTCTTCCAGACCCCAGGCTCTTCCCACCAATCCTGAGAGTCCCAGATGGGACTCTGATAGATGTGGAATGTCAGAGGCCCAGAGAGGGTGTGAGACTTGCCTAAGGTCACACGGACCCTCAGGGACTTGGCCCGACTCCAAGGCCTGCAGGGAGTCGGGGTCCTCTTCGGTGCCCCCTCGCCCCACCCTGCCCGGGACCCAGTTCAAGTAATTCAGGATAGGTTGTGTGCTGTCCAGCCTGTTCTCCATTACTTGGCTCGGGGGCCGGTGCTCTGCAGCTCTGGGGTGAGGGGGTTGCCCCCAGGCCCCTACATCTGGCTGAGGCCATGGTGGAGGAAGGGGCTGGGAATTAGTGATTCCCTTTGAGGCAGGGCCCAAAACCAGGAGTTGGAGGTTCATTTTGATACTCTTCTGGATGGGTGGGTGTCTTCCCCAGTGGTGGTTGCACCGGCTGGCTGAGTGGAGCCCGCAGGCCATGGGACCAGCCTCCCTCCTGTGCCTCCTCCACGCACTCCCTCCCAGCCCCCAGCCGCCCTGCCCCACCCAGGCCTGTGGGCCAGCAGTCCCCTCACTGGCCCACCCCCCAGGTCTATGTGCTGAAGCGGCCCCACGTCGACGAGTTCCTGCAGCGGATGGGTGAGCTCTTCGAATGTGTGCTGTTCACCGCCAGCCTTGCCAAGGTGAGCCCTCCACGCTCCGAAGGCCTCCTGGGGCATCTCTGCTTCCTATCTGCCTCCAGCGCATGACCTCTGGGCAGTGACCTCTGGGTCGCTCTTGGCCCTGGATGACCCACCTCCTGCCCCCCAGTACGCAGACCCAGTAGCTGACCTGCTGGACAAGTGGGGGGCCTTCCGGGCGCGGCTGTTTCGTGAGTCATGCGTCTTCCACCGGGGGAACTACGTGAAGGATCTGAGCCGGCTGGGCCGAGACCTTCGGCGGGTGCTCATCCTGGACAACTCACCCGCCTCCTATGTCTTCCATCCAGATAACGCCGTAAGTGCCGGGCAGGGTGGGGATGGGGGCCCCTGCTGGGGTCTGGTGCCCTCCCATTCCTCCCTCTTTCCTCAGTGACCCATGCCTGCTGCCCACCCGCCTGGTCCACCCACTGCTGCTCCCTGTTCTGTGTTAGTCACTCAGCCCATTCTGCCTGCAGATACAGGGCACCTGCCATGGGCTCGGGTCCCTGCTGGACACTGGAGCAGTTTCCATTTTTCATACCGCCAGCCGTGAGCTGTTAGTGGAACACGGAAATAATTTAGTGGGTCTTAGTTGGGATTTTTTAAAAAATGAAATAGAACTGAAAATATCAGAGTGCTTAACACACGGTAAGGCTAAGTATGGTCCCGCAGAACCTCTGCTCTGACCTGTGTGTAAATGTGACTCACTGGGGCTGCCCTCAGAATGTCTGAAGACTGGGTAAGGGGCTTCCAGGAGGTGGCCCGTCGAGCAGGGTGCTCAGGATTCATCTGCACATCCTGTGCTCAGGGCCGCCTGCCCCCCTCACCACCCTACACCCATCTGCTCAGGTCCCGGTGGCCTCGTGGTTTGACAACATGAGTGACACGGAGCTCCACGACCTCCTGCCCTTCTTCGAGCAGCTCAGCCGTGTGGATGACG